GTGTCGTTGTACGATGGAAATTTCAACATGTTGTATTTGGGGATGACCGCGGCCCCCTGGGTGACGATCTGCTGCTCACCGGACGATTCTGACAAGTCCGGTCGGCGGCTGCTAGTGGCTGTCGTCCCTTCTGTGTTCCTCTCCTTGCTAGAAAGGAATAACTCCATTAGACGCCATAGCTCCCTGACTTCGTCCTTGATTTCACGTACTTTCGAGCTGGTCTCCACAAGCCGGTGCTCTAGTTCGTGGACCCTGGACGGCAACTGCTCCAGATCACCCATGACGCCTTGCTCTGATACCAAGTTGTTAAGGGCCCGGGAATAAGATCTCGTCACGGGTCGGTCCACGGGAAAACCCTCATGTTTCCCCTTGTCCCTTCCCTTTCTTGAGGTACCTATCTTGGCGCCTTGATGGTGATTTGTTCAAGAGGTCACCAACTCTCCTTACTCTCTTCTTGACTGAATATTCAATCCTTTATTGAATAATAGCAGCTCCTTAAATAGGATATTACAAGGGGTACGAGTCCTGCTCTTAGGGAGATTCCTTGCTGATTAGGAAGACCCCCTTCTACTCTATCTTGATAAGATAAGACTGATAAGATAAGATAAGTCTCTCTTAATTCTAATCTAATAAGATAAAGTAATCTAATCTACTAAACTAATAAGATAAGATGATCTAATCTAATCTGTCGAATTGATAAGAATATTGTTGCTGCCGAATTGGATAGGATGAGAACACCAGATCACTGTTGTTGTCGGCGGTGATATTAACTCCCGATAAACGTGTCCATAACAGGTGGACACAACTGAAAATAAGGAGAAAGATGGGGGGCGGCAGCTGGGATTTAACAAAGTTAGGGATGCCCTAGGGTTTCTAATGGATGGCTAAGATGGTTTTGGGGTGATCTTATGGTTGAAAATGGAAGGAGAGAACACCCAATATTATGTAGGGCTGAGATTTGGATGCCCAGAAATGGAGGGTGTAGACTAGAATATCTAGGGTTGAAGGGTTAAGATTAAAAGAATATGTGGTGCCCTAAATTGAATGGTTGATATATAGGATGAAGGGAGTGGCTAAGTTTTAATGATGAGGAGCTGAATGGTGAGGATTAGCATAATAGGTGGTACCCTAGGATTTAAAATCTACAAAGGAGAGCCCTAAAATGGATGGTGGAGATTAGAAGGAGTGGATGATGGAGATTTCACATCTAGGGTGGCTAGGGTTAGCTAAGGAGGAAAATATTAGGTTAAAAAGGCTCCATAGGGTTTGCTAATGAGAGGGGAGCATGGTAATACAGTAGGATGGGCACCAATTGGGTTTAGCAGATAGGAGGTGCCCTCCTATTCTTAATTCTTTACAAAAACACCTCCTCTCTCAGCTGAACTTTACACCAGCTTCCCAAAAATATGAAAAAAGAAATTTAAGGACTTTGTCACTGACCCCTACATGGGGTTCCTTGTAATTTATCCTTTTCTTTTTTGGTAATAAAAATTATGATGATTGATAGAAGAGCTCTAGGCTCTAGCTTATGTAATTCTGCAATTTTGCCACCTTTTACCCACTCCAACGATGCGAGACCAACTTATATCAACAATACCAAAGTTGTGTCGTCACGTACAAGAATAATCAAATTGTGAGAACTTACCAAGATACTCTGTGTGGGACTTCCAATTAAACAAGGTACATAGACATAACAAACTCACAGTGACACCAGAATGGCAGTGCTCAAGCACTTGGTCTAACTTAAGGATAATAAAAAAAAAGTGAAATCTTGCAAACAAACACCTTGAATATGCGAGCAGGATATATAGCAGAACTAAATAATGGTAAAGTAATAATAGAGATATTGAGAAAGAGATAACAAAGGAGGAAAAAAATACACATCAAATGCGGAAGCACAGAACACCTGCTTGGCCTTTGGCGGAGTGGATATGATGACACTCAGGAATACAAATGATGAGAACACTCTTACTCTCTCATTCACTAAGCCTTTCCAGAAACTTTCAATCCATTGGTCAAAGCCTTTTCAGTATCATGTTTTTTCTACATCATAGATTTTTCCCATCATAACCCATGAAACAAAGATAAGTAACCAATGCCCATTGTGATGATGGCGGATTTAAATTTTGTACTTCATTTCCATTATTAATAAAAATAAGTCTTATTTATCATTTAATGTGATATATAATATTAGAGATTTAAAATATGTATTTATGCATACATACATGCATACATGCATACATACATATACACACACATACATACACATACATACATACATACATACATACATACATACATACATACACACACACACACATATACATACATACATACATACATACATACATATATACATACATACATACATACATAATAACTAATCAACTAACAATTATAAACATTTTATATTTCATGTAAATAAAACAACTTAGTTGATTTGATCTATGTAAATAATAATAATAATAATAATAATAATAATAATATTATTATTATTATTATTATTATTATTATTATTATTATTATTATTATTATTATTATTATTATTATTATTATTATTAAAAAATCAATTAGGAGAGGAATTGAGAAAAACAACAAACTTCGGACATTGCATTTAGAATAATAAGAAAAACCTCATTAGATTTATTCAAAGGAAACTAAGAACTTGATTAGTCCTTTTTGTATTGAACTATCTTAAAACACTAAGAAAAACTAACATATTTTGATTTGCCTTATTAGTTTTCCATTTTTACTTTTTTATTTGGTCCATAATTATTGAATTGCTTTACCTATATGTTTTAAATTATATAAATACATTTTTTGCATTAAATCACTAATTAATCATTGATATTTGAGGCTAATGCTTTTTTACGCCTTAGGCTACACCTCACTCCTTGAGGCTTGAGGCTTACATCTCATTCTAACAAAGGCTTAAGCCTCACATCAAAGTTGTGAGGCTTAAGCCTTTTAAAACAATGTATATATATATACACTAAAGTGGCACGGTCTGAACCATTCAACCCGGCCAATCAAACTGGTGACCTACAATCGGGAGGCAAAAAACGGTTCAACCTCCAAGTCGGTTTTTAAAACACTATGCTCCAATATTCTAAATGGATCCGAAAACCTGTCTGCCTAGAAATCTGACAAAGACTTCTTGAGTGGTCTAACAACGGTAGTAGTGAAGCCTCTAAAAACAACAGGTCGTACCGCAACACAACACAATTATATGGATCGTGCCGAGCTTGGGGTTTTAGGTCCATGGACCTGCCCAAAGAACTAGACGCTGAAACCCCCCAACAACTAGTTTCAACTTTAGGGGGTCTTTACAGAAATACCCCCCCAACAACTATATATGGGGTATTTATGTATTTTGGCTTTGGGGGAGATAAAATGCCAATAATGCCCCCCAACTATATATAGCTAATTTAAGGGATATTTAGGTAAAGTGATAAATGACTTTATAATGAAAATACCCCTCTCAACAACTAAAAAATGACTAGTTTTTAGGGTATTTAGGGCAATTGAATTATTTTCAATTCCTATAAATAACCCTATCCTCTACACCAGTCCATATTTCTCATCACACCAATTCAGCAATTCTCTTCTCAATTCTCGTACTCTCTCAATATCTCATCTCAATTCTCATACTGTCATGCACTTGGGTAGTTAGGCACTTAACAATTTAGCCATTTAAGAGGCTTTGAAAGGCTTCAACCATTGAAATCAAGTTGAGATTCTGAATTGATAATTCAACCATCTAGGTAAGTGCAATTAAATTAAGTTTTATTTTTTTAGAATTAAAAATAATGATTGGCTCCTCCTCTCGAAACCAATTCCCCAACGGTAAGTTCACTAGCCTGATTTGAAAAATATTTAAACTAGAGGAGGTTGAGGGAAAGGGAAAAGGAGTTGTTTGTTCTTCCATGAGAAACAATAAAAATATATCTACTTTAAAGATTTGTTAGATGATGAGGATAAATTACAAGACAAAAGACATAACACTACTACACGTGATGAAGCAAATGATTAACGTCAAGGAGATGGAGTAATTTCAATTTTATTTAAGTTTTTTTTTCAACAATGTAACATTTTATTTTCAATTTGTAATTTTTTATATTTTAAATGAAATAAAATTCCTATTTTTTCTAATTTGTTGTCCATTTTATATTTTGGTAAATTTTTCTCTTTTTTTGTTAGATTTTTTATTTTTTTCAATTTGTTCCCAAAGCAAGCAAAGTCCAAAGAAAAGTTAGCAAGGAAAAAAAGTCTCTAAACCTCAAGGCCCAACTCGTAACCCAACCTAACACAAACTAGGCCCACGACATGACCTACAACCCATCCAGCCCGTACGGTCTCAAGCTGTGGGCCATGCCAGACAGACCCCCCAAAGTATCCAAAGGGAAGGAAGTGCAGCCTGACTAGACCCACAGGCCGTGCCGCCTGTTTTACATCTCTATTGGCAAAGGAAACTATTGGCGAAGATGACAGAACCTCATTTTCTCTATTGGCGGGAACAAAGTAAATAGGCCTATTTGATTTTGAGTAAGAAAACAAGGAAACCTTGTTGGTGTTACGTTGTTAGTTATCGGCGAGCAGTTTTCTGATTACTCGAATACTTCAACCTTGGAGTAACTCAATTATAAAATTTCATTTTTTTTTTAAATAAACACATTCATATTCATTATTTGTAATTGAGGCTCAGTTTGGAATTAGTACAAATACAAATATGTAGAGTGCAAAACCCTGTATTTTGTACTATTTTGTATGCATTTGCACTGTACAAATATTTGTATTTGTACTCCTTCCAAACTGAGCCTCAATTACACAAATATTGGAGTAATTCACATACACAAATTCATTATCTGTACAATTTTAAAATGGAAATTTCAGTGGCTAATGTGTCATGTACATTTAGGTGTTCATACAGGAAATTTGTTGCAGAGGCTGTCAGCCATTGCAGCCAATTCAATATTGTGAAGCAGAGAGCAAGGCACAAGAAAAGAAACTTTCATGCTCATGCCGAAAATATTTGTGAGCGTAACAAGGGTTCAAGACTTGGAAAGGCGTAGTTGGGGAAAAAATGGCAAAGGAAATCCAGGGTATTGGACCAACCAAACAAAGAAAACTGCGACTTTAAGTTATCGAGTCATCGAGAATCCAAGAGGGGTAGCTCAATAGGTCATGCAAGATCTTGCAAAGAAAAACTAAACTTGAAAAGAAAATTTTGAATCCCTAACATGCAATAAAAAGAAACTTTCATAATTTTCATACTCTCACTTCAGATTCTACTTCCCCCTTCTTTCTGCTTTTTTTGGCCTCTGTAGCTCCCTGTTGCTGTTGTTCAGCCTTTTTCTGGGCTCGAATCATTGCTCGCCTTGCTCGTGGCCGCATCTCTCGTACCTTCCGAGGAGGCATCACGTATGATTCAAGGGGACGATCACCAAAAGGGTGCTCACTGCTAGAAAATATCCTCAATTTTCGATCTCTATCCTGCATTCACACAAATCACTCAAGCTTAGGGTAATGAGTTACTGGCAACACTTTACGAGATAGACTTCCGAATAATAAGTGGTGAAGGCAAATTGGAATATGTTTAAAGCCACAATAACTCATCTATCTACACATTCAAGTCGGTCCATAACTTAGGATGAACCATGTAATAAACGTTATACAAGCAGAAATCAGTCCTAACAAGCCAATGCTCTTCGCCCTTTTTAATTAATTACAAGCCATGCCCCAACATCTGGAAAAGGGCAAGCTATTCAGAAATCTGATCCCTGCGCCTGGAACCCCTGTTCTACAACAGCTCCACATACACCTTGTCTTGCAAGAGACAACTTTTCCAGATCATTGACTGATCAAGAAATCCATCTAAATAAGTTGTATTACATACATGCCAATGCCACTGCTTCAGGGTACAAGGATCTTCTACCTTAGAAGGTGTCTTATCCCTCACCACCTAGCAGTCACATTCCAGCCAGATGATTAGGCAAGTGTCGTATCTTGTAGGAAGAGAAAAGAGCTCCACTATGAGTTACCTTCTCTAGCCATCTGGCAGTCGCCCATTCCAGCCAGATGATTGGGCAAGTGTCATATCTTGTAGAAGAGAAAAGAGCTCAACTATGAGTTACCTTCTCAAATGACCTTAACTATAAGCTCAACCATGCGAAAATAGCTCATTAGGATAATAGCCATCACATCTCTAAAGACACTACACTCCCAGATAGGCAAGGGTTGCCAAAGGCACATCCACCAAAGTTCATCTTCACGATCCCATTGCTGGATGGAAGTACAATGTATTTGGTTCTTCCTTTTCAAGCCATCCAAGTGAGAAGCTACTCCCAGGCATATACAAAGCATCTAAGTTCTTTATCCAGCATGGGCAATAGAATTTAGCCATTCTTCAACTTCACTAGGTCCTAAGCGGATAAAAATGAACTTCACAATACCTCCCCAACACAGTAATTTTAGTTTATTATTATCTAAGCCTTTCCCAACTCTATGGAGCGGCTACATGAAGCCTGTTCGGTCATTCCCTTCTGTTCAGTGCCATAACTCAGTAATTCTAATTCAGTGTCATAAAGTCATTTACAAATTACAATTCTAACATTGAAGTTTTTCCTTGTAAGTACGTACAATTCAGCAATAAGATACCAATAGTCTTCACATTTCTTTTTGACCCACTTAAGGGAGGCGGGTCCCAAAACCAAAGGACGTTTAGATATTCAAAAGGGGTATGGGGATCAGGCCCATCTGGGAAGCAAAGTGGGCCCTAAGGAAGGGACGCGGGCCAGGAATCCAGGGCCTTTGAAAATTCTTGAAATTCAGAGTTGTCTCTTTCTTAGCCCATCTCAGGGGAAAGGGAAGGAGGTTGCCAGAGAGGAATCTTATTCTTCGGGGTCGTCCAGCTCAAATATTTCATCTTGGGGAGGTGAAACTTCCAAGAGTTTCGCTTCAGAGATAGAGGTGGTTCCGGCAGAAGGGTTCACGGGAGATCCAGCAGTGTCTTTGGAGCCTAAGTCTCAGAAGGAGGTATATTCGCCAGGGAGTACAGGGGAGAGAGATGAATGCCCAAAGACCCCCCTTTGGTGTCGTCAAAGATGTCGGTCCCTCAAAACATGATGGTGACTCTGGTCTCAGAAGAAGAGGTGGGTAGGCTGCTTAACTCTCAAAAATGAAGCAGAAAGGCAAACAATCGCCAATAATGGGGCTTCTATCGAGCCTTTGGCAGTTATTCTTCCAGAGCAACAGACTCGGAGGGAACAGTCTAGTACAAGTAATGGTCGACTAATCCATCCGAGGTGTGCTCAAGACAGTGAAGTGTCCTCTTGGGTTTTAACCATGGTTTCAAATGTCGCCAAATGTCATTAATGTCGCCCAACATATGTCGATATCGAGGTTCACCGACATGAAAGTGGATGGTAATATAAAAATTACATTATGTCGGTCGACCAAATCGGTCCAAATAACCAAAAAAAAATACAGTTTTTCCTATTATGTCAACAAGATGTCGACTAATGTACATTAAAAATATAATATATTAGTATATTATATTAATATAATGCAGTATATTAATATAGATTATTCCATTAATAATTTCTATTTAATATTTCAAATAAAATATTTATAAAAAGAATTAACAAAATATAAAAACAAAAGAATAAATTAATTACTTTATAATATAAAACATAAAATATTT